GGCGGGGCTGTGAGGTGGGGAGGGCCTGGGGGCGGGGGGGGTGGGGGACGACAGGACGCAGCCCCTCCGCGCCCCCCGCCCTTCCTGGTGCTGCGGTGCCCTGCCAGCCCTGGCCAGCCTCTGCCGGCCCCTTCCGCGGGCTCTTGGCAGGCGATGAATGGCTCTTCCCTCCCGCCCTCGGCTTCCCTGCTCCTTCATGACCGCTCCGCACCTTTCCTCTGGCTCGCCGAGGCCTCCCGGTGCGATTGCCGTGTCCAATAGCTTGGACATGGACATGGACGTGGACATGGACATGGACATGGACCTACCATGTCCAAGCGGCCAGGGTGCGCCGAGGCCCTGAGCTTCACCCCGGGTGGTGGCTTTAGCCTGTCTTAGAGATAAATCTCCTCTTCCAGGCTGGGAGTAACACAGTTTGATCAGTGACAGCGAAGCGTTGTGGTGTGGATCCCAATCGTTCCTCTTTTGTTTTACAGTTAATTCCTCAGATGACTTTAATTCAAAAGAAACACCCGTAATGCGTTGTGTAATGCTTTTAAAGACATACTGAAGCTCTCCACAAAGTGGGTTTTAGTTTAAAGAGCTTTCAAAGAGCGTTTCCTAGCTAGAACAACAGAGGGTTTCCCCTGTTTTAACATGTTGGCCTTTGAATGAAATAGCTGACGTGTCAATGTCATGAGTAGATGTGACTTCCAACTGGTTTTTGCTCTGCTACGTTCAGCTGGTGCAAGCGTAGCCTTGTGTCTGAAGCTGCCTCTGCAGCTGATACATGTGTGTGATTGGACATGGACGAGGCATCCCCACCTTACTGCTAGCACAACTAAATATTTGATGTGTTGCGTCATATATGTTCACAGTTGTTCATATCAGGAGAGAAGATAAGGCCAACTGTTCATACTTCCCGGATGCTGAACTAAGGTGCCGCAAGGTTTTGCTGACCTTGTTCTTGGCTTTCTCCAGCTGCTTTGCCATAGTTGTCTACTGGAGGCAATGTCCACTTTCCCCTGCGTCAGCATGGGGCAGCCTGTGGCTCCTGACCCCTGTGTAGCTCCCAAAACCTGCTCCCCTCAGCACCCTGGGCACTGGGGGCTGCTGACTAATCCAAACCCTCAGCGCCGGGAAGGGGCAAGCCAAGGCTTGATGTTTGGTCATTCAGCAGAGCCCTGCATTACTGGAATGGCGAGGCCTCTGAGGAGGTTTTCCAACAGAGCTCCCTTACGAACAGTTCCTGGATCTCCTCCATGTCAGCTCTCCACGTGCTGGCTGCAGGGCCGGAAAAAATGGCAGCCTGTGCTTTGCAGTTGTTAAACGTACGCTCGATCACTCTTAACTCACGTGATAAGGCTTGTTATCTGGGTGTGGGAGAAAGTATTTCCTGCATTGTTCAGTCACTCTTACATTCAGAAACCTGTGCAATGGCATTCTTTTTTACTCTTTGATTATAATTACCATCTGCAGTAATACTCAGCATAATAGTTTTAGAGCAATTAATGATCATATGCTGGCCTAGGAATTTTTAAGTTTTGCATTAGTTCATATTCAGTGGGATTCAGGAAGCCAAGCGCTGACATGTTTAATTTGTCGCTAATCTGTTAATAAACATTCACAGATGGAAAAAGAATGGGGAATAATCAGAAGGCTCTTCAATTTTAATATCTGAGAGATTTTGATGTAATTTGCATATATAAAAAAAATATTCATGAGCATGGTATGGTTTTGTTAATTAATTTCAGTGGGATTCCTCAGAAGACTATGTAGGTTGTAAGTATTTGCAGAAGTCTTTCCAGGACTGGGATTGTAGTTTGCTTTAAAAAAAGAGTTGAAAATATTCTTACGGGTTGGACTGTTTTCATCTGTTAGTTGACATGTTAAATTATGCGGCATTTATAAACCCTTCTCTCTGGCAGGTTTTGGAGATCATATTCACTGGAGAACACTAGAGGATGGGAAGAAAGAGGCAGCAGCCAGGTATGTTACCTAGCTTTAAAGACAGAAAAATGTGTTTAAAACCATTCACAGAGATTCTTTATTGATCCTAAACTTAACCACAGAAAATCGTGATTAACAGACATGAAGGTGGTTTAGGTGACTGTTCAGATCCCTATAGGGTATTAGAGAGAAAATGCAGCGTTTGTTAACTTCGCTGAGGCACCACCCAGGTTTAATGATGGAAGTTCTAGCACGTCTTTGAAGTGACAAGAAAATATTTTTTGAGTATTTATCACAGTAAAGAAAGATACGGATCTCAAACCCACAAATGCGTGTTTAAGTAGTACTCAATCCCCTCGAACTCGGCAGCGCTAGTAGCTTCTGTAAAATCCCATGTGCCTGTGCAGATGAGGCCACGGTGTGAGCAGAGAACATTATTTCATTACCATCTGCAGAAAAAGTCTGAAAGTTTCAAACTGTAGTGAACTGCTATGTTAAGTAGAACCTTTTCTGGGTTAAGCTTAAACTCTAGAAAGAACACTGTCTCTATGAAAAGGTAAAAAATGACATTTTGGCACTTTTTCCTCAGAATTTCTTCTGTTTCTTGTTAAAAGGTGAAAAGGAAAATGGTATGCTGATAAATTATGCTTGTATTTTTAAACTCATAACCTAGATCTGATAATGCTGATGTTAGCGGAAATTCATTATGCTTTTCAGTTTTGCTGTTCAGTTGAATTTTGCTCTCAAACTGCTCCATCTGGTGAGTGTAGGTGCCGAATTAACCCAGATGGCACAGTTCAGAAGCCTTTCAAGTGTTTATAACTGGATGGTTTAGCATTTATTCGCTATACCCATCCAAAAAAAAAGTTTCACTATTTGCAGGAATAATTGTAGCATTACTTTGCAGAGGAAGCTTTAAAATGGAGGAGGGAGGGCGAGCTCTCAGGTTTAGGCCGGAGGAGTGTTTCAGCTCAGAAACGGCCCCAGAGCAAGGGACAGGTGTAATGCACGCTCTCCGCTTTTGTTGCCAAAACCACAAACCTGCTCACCAATTTGAGTTCAGCAGCATTTGAGTGTTAGTGAATCAAAGGTTTGGGAGAAACCACCACCACCAACAAAAAAGATAAGCAAACATAAAAAGCAGATTTTTGTGCCGACCTTAGGTCAGGAGATGAAAAAATGATACGAAATGATCTGTTATGCAGCAGGTGAGATGCATCAGAGCCGGCGTTCTGGGAAGTTTCAAGGCTTTAAATCGATTTCAGTGCTGTAAACGGGACAACCTGGATGTGTGGGGGATGCTCGGGTTTGAGCTCCCGGGAGACGAGGGTTCGGATCCAGCGTCCGTACAATTCCTCCCGGGTGTCTGGTTCCCGGGGGCAACCGCAGTACGATCGCGCTCGTAAGCGGGACGCCCCGCAGCTCCGTGCCCACCGTGTCCTCTGGCGAGGCGAT